CCCCGCTCGCCATGGGCGCCGCGGCCCGCAGCCTGCCGCTCGCGCTCGGCCTGCTGCTGCTGGGGACGCTGCTCCGTCCGACCGACGCCTGCAGCTGCTCCCCGGTGCACCCGCAACAGGCGTTTTGCAATGCAGATGTAGGTAAGGACGGCGACCGCGCCCCGGCCCGGTGCCCATCTCCCCCGCGGGGCGCGCGGGACCCCTGATGTTCCTCAGGCGCCCCGCCCGCCGCATTTTGCAGAGGACCCAGCGCCCGCCTCCCGGCCCTCGGCGCCTTCTGGAATCCTGCAAGTGGACGCCAAAATTGCACTTTCTTTTTCCCTTCCTTTTCTCCCTTTCCTTCCTTCTCTGCTGAGATGTTCTCAACCTCAAAATTCCACCGAAATTCCGCTGCAGCTCCAGCCCCGGAAAAGGGAGCCAGGGAACGGATTGGGTTTTGGCAGGCGGAGGACCCTGGGATGCCAGGGCGGGGGCGGGGAGAGTGGGGGACATACCGTGGGGCGCGGGGGGGGGGGGTGGTCACGGCCTCGGTGGGCTGGAGGACTGGGGGCCCCAGGAAGAAGCTCAACAGGTGAGATGGGAGTTGGGCTCCTCTGGACTTGGGGCTCGGTGGGGAAGGGCTTCTCTGCCTGGGCCTCTCCCACCAGCACCATTTGGGGGCTCACTGGATTAAGCCTGGGTACAATGGAAGTTTCTCTCCCCTGGGCAGGTTCCTGGGCTTGGACGGGCAGCTGAGAAAGGGCTGCAGGGCCAGCTCTTTGCTCTACACCCTGCCCAGGAGGCAGCGTGCCCAGGGCCAGACAGAGAGGATGGTCCTTGAGTGATTTGGTGCCCGTGACTGCTTTTTCAGGACATTCACAGCAGCTGGAGACTTTGGGGCACCTGAGGTTGTGTGGTTGCTTGGAATCGCCAGAAAATATCTTGTCACCCTCAGGACTCCTTGTCCCCCAAAGATGGGAGCTAGCGAGGGAGGGAGGAGCCCACTTGTTTGTTCTGATTCACAGAGAGGCAGGAGACAGAAGCAGGGAGAACGCAGCAGAACTGGGAGGAACCAGCTGGGCCCTGGAGGTTTCCATCCAGGTCTGACACTTGCAGGCCTCTGCCTCCCTGGTGATGGTCAGACAGGTTTTCCTGGGGCAAGTTCAGTTTAACCAAAAGGACAGATGTGTAGCAGGTGGGCCTCTGCAGCCCCCTCTGACTTCTCAACAGGTTTATTTTCTGGTCCTGCATCTGTGCCAGCTGAGCATCCTGTTGCCAGGCCAGATGTGGTGAGGCTGGGCTCCCCTGACCTTTGCAGTCTCAAAGCCAGGGTCTCTGGGTTTCTTCTGTTGTCAGCCATGCCTTCCTGATCTCCCCACACCCCACCACCCC